ATTTCGATATAACATTAGAGATCTATTGGAATATTGAGAATATCTGTATGTGGCCTAAATGCATTAGAAGTGATGGTATTTGCTATATCATATCTCAAAAAACATTAGGATTAGAAGATATAGAAAGTCAAGTAATCATCAAGCCTCAGGAAGAGGATTATATTAGGAAAGCTATATATGATGCTGCAGTAAATGCTTCAATTACTCAGGGCATACAGCATTATCATCCGCAATCCAGCATAGCTCTTCAGATGGCAGAACAAGCTAAATGGGCTACATCGATTGGTATCTCACTTGTGTTAGAAACGTGCGGTATCGAGGTTAAGGATAAACTTTTTGAGATGAAAGAAATCATTATACCAGATCAAGTATACAAGCTCAGAACAACATTAATAGGTAAAGGGGATGGTGTCCCTATGATGACTTCGAAAGCTTGGAATGCCATGTTTTCATCTGACAGTTTAAAAGGTATATCGAAAAGCCCGATGGCCATTGCCAACAGTATAGTTTACAATAATGTAGTATATGGCAATGAATTAGGTAGACTAATGGGACCTGTAGATAATTTGTTTCTATACGACTATGCGGTCGAAAGCAGAGAATTTAATATCAACGAGTGGTTTTCTAGTGTCAGAAATAAGATAGCAATCCTATTTAAATACATGACACCATTACAGGCAACAAGTACATTGGGAAATGTCATGAGTTATGAGATGATTAAAGCCAAATGTAGAGTAGAAGAAGCAAGCAGACGCTACTCTCAGGTAAATAAAAAAATGGCTGTATGGAAGAATTTGAGAGCAATGTTACATTACAGAGTTGTTGATGCTGCTTTCCTTAAGATAGTGCCATATACTATGTTGACTGTTGATGAAATGGATGTCATCGGATTTGTTGCAGTATCACATGACATGGTTGATTTTGGATATGATGTAAGTGTCAAGGAATCAAGCAATACATTTTTAACTATTGCGGGTGGTAAGATAGACATGGATTCTGTAAAAAAAGGATATATTCGTATGGCAAATGGGCTACAATACGTTATCGAAAGATACAAATACGATGCGTGTGGGTTGACATTCCTAGCTACTCACTTCTGGCAAATGGCTAATGGCCGTCATCGAATTATTCCATCAATCTATAATGGTGCAACTAACTATCAGCATAAGTATTTGGAATTGAAAAGTACATTGCTGGATGTATTGCAAGATGATAATAATATTACTAAGAAAGATAGCATCAGTGCATTGGAAGCCGCAGAAAACCTTAGGGCTGCCGCTTTATCACTAGGATATGATGCTATAGCAATTGCCAAACTTATCACCATAGATATTGCTGGTAGTTACGCTGGCGATATTGAAATATCTCCCCAAACCATCAATGTGATCGAACGCAAAATGTGTGAATTATCAGTATCCCTTGTAATAGGATGTGATCCCGACGGCAAGATGACATCCTTTCTATGGATGATATGCGAGTATATGTGGTTGAAAACAGGCATGATGTTATCTTGTTTGCTTGGCACAGTAAAGATTATACATAACAGAAGACAATCAGATGATAGAGGCGGATTACAATATAAATGGTAGGCAGAAGAGCTAGATATATGGGATGTTATGTATTATCATATTCATTTTTATATATGGGCTGAGTGCTAGGAAATCAGCAAAAAAATAAAGATCTTCGACAAATCAATTTTTATATTATAAATTTTATAATAAATCATAAGAAATTACAAATTTTAAAGAGCTACACCGCAAAATTTTCTTAATACAACTTCTTTTGTGTCTTAAGTGAAAAATGATCTTGATCTTATTCTAAATTAATTTATATAAAAAAATAATTTTAATAAATTTGCCAATTTTCCCCTTTCTATAGCACCTAACCCATATAAACTAGAAAAACAACGACGTTTGTGGGCTGAGCCCTAATTATTAAGTATTACCCTTTAGGATTAATTAAATTAAAAATAGTTTCAAATTTATAAATTGCTATATATTACTCATAAAGATTACATTTATAATAATTCTATAAAGAAAGTAATCTTTGTTATATTAAAGTATTATTCTTTGTTACAAAGTTGTATAGACTAAATAGAATAACCCTGTGGAATCATACTGATACAGTACTACATTACTTAATACCTTAAATAGTATTATAAAGTTATTGCATGCGAAGTGTGCAGGAACTGCTATATTTTAGGTAGGCATATTGGCAATCGATCCTCGGGCGGCACCAGACATACTAACACGTACGTACGTAGAAGGGTAAGTATTCTTTATCAGTCTAGTTAATTTTTATTAGAGAAGGGCCCTGACTAATTTTTATTATTTTCGCTTTTTTATAAATATATGCATACTTCGCTATACTTGTTTGCATTACTAATGGCAATGGAATATGTCCATTGAAAATAAATTTATCAAAAGATCTTAACAGATCATAATACTATAATCCATTTGTCCATCAGTTTATATTAGTTTATTAAAAATTATTTTTTTAATTTCTACTCTTAACGATTATAAAAAATATAAGATAGAATCGATTAATATCAAAATTGCATAAATTTGTATGTAACTAATATTTAACAGAAAAGATAATTGATCAACTACTTCTTTTAGTTTGCGAATTTTACTTAATATTATACCGTATCATCAGAAATAACATCCCGAGTATTTATTTTAAGACATTGCTTGAAGATAGTTAATAATTAATTTAACCGAATGCGTATCATAATTTTTTGTTATAAACCCTGACATAATCTGTTTTATATTCAGTAAAAACTAATCGTCTTCATGCAATTAAGGTAATGAATTTGTATTATTAATAAAGACTCGCCTAACAGAATACCGTAATTTTAGTGGCAGTAAAAGCTTTGCAAGTATTTCACACTTTCTTTCGAATTGTATTCGTTGTAGGTTGCATTTCAATCTCGGGGACTTTGTGATCCTGAGTCCACTCCTTACAATGCACAATACACTGAAATTGAAAATTTGGTTGAAAATAATAAACATACTTAGTATTGTGAATGCGTGTTAGCGAATCGGTGTTTATACATTATTTTAATAATTTTATGAAACATATATTGTTTAAGAACAATGTCCATGGGAATTTAAAATAACGCGCACCTATTATATCGTCATTTTTTTTTTATTATTTTATATGTAAATTTATTGGAAAATAATGAATAAGCTCGTACTCAAAATATTGTGTAGGCGGCATTACTTCAATAAATATATATTGAAAGAACAGACATGGTCACTTAGGTCCGATCTGAATAGGATATAGTTTACTCAGGTCAATTATTTGAAGCTCGTTAAGCTTGAAAGAAATAATCATAAGCAATTAATCCTTCAACAAAAACACTTGGTTAAAAAGTTATTTAAATAAACTTGTTATGAGCAGAAATGTTAAAAATAGAACGGAACAAATTTAAAGACATAACTAAGATATTTTTTATCAACACAAGTCATATAAGAAGACGTATTATTTACTAATAATAGTAATAATAACATTATCATCACCTAGAAGTAATAGATCAAAAATGATAATTACATAGCTCTATTCATTTATAACCTCTTCGATAAAGCTAACTCTTAAATGAATCATTAAATTTGCACACTCAAAATGCTTAATTCCAAGTTTACGTGTCTCAATAATGCAAATTCCTATATAACTATAATTTAAATTGGATGCTATAAAAAAGATAGATACAACTGTACACGCCATATAATACAGTAAAAATATTTAACCCCATTTTTTTTAATTGCCAGCATCAAAATTACGCTCTATTTGTCTCAATAATATACAAACAACATATACTTTATATACTGAAACTACTTGCTAGACTTCTACTCTTTCTGAATTTGAATATTTCATATTCCTCTACACAAAAAAAAAGATTGACCACTTTTATTTCTAATTGCTTTTTCATATGAACTACAATTATAGTAACAACGATTAGTTTGATTGGAATTATCTCCCATCCAATATCATCAAAGTTGGTTCATTATTAAAACTATAACCAAATGCATTTTGTGGATTTTTTAAACGAATTGAAATGGGAATCTGAATAATACCATTTTTTAATGAAAAAATAAAGTTATCATTGCAATTTATATAACCACTACTTGATTATTCCACTGTATCGGATTATATCAACCAGAATTTCATCAGTACCATTAACTTTCATTACCACAACAGTATTTGCTTGATTGCCACATAAATTCCAAAATGATTGTGTTGTAAAACCATCTCTTATTCCATGAAGAAGCAGTTTAAACTTATATGGAATATTCCTTACCGAATATGCTTCGCTTTTCTTACCAACCCATGATGCAATTTCTGCTGCATGTTTTCACTGATAACTTTTGAAGGAAATGGCACAGTTACTCTAGGTGGTAACGTTTGTGTTAAAATTATACGGGGTGAAAGAACTGTTGATAATATTGGTCTATTTGGTGCAACAAGGTTTGGGATATATCATCTCAAAGATCTTGTTCAAGAACATTTTTATATGGTTTCATTTTATCAAAAATATCAACATTTGAAATTCGAAAATAATGGATAAAAGGTAAGCACATTTGTAAAATAGTTTTTGATGTTAGGAAGTTTTCTTGAGGCCATTTTTTAGAATTAAACGGTAAATCCACATTTTGAGTGATTCGCCATCTAATAACATGTCCCAAAATTTCCCTTCTTCCATCTGTAAATCGTCTGTTTAATGAGTGCAATTGGTGTATTTTCTGAAAGAGAAATAAAGTCTTCTGATTCAAAGCCTTATGAGGATACTTTGTTATATATCATTGCTCTATTTATGTAATTCTTGAAATTTTTCATTTTAGAAACTTTTATGATAAAATTCGTGTAAAATTTAAACGGAGCCAGTGTGCATTTTGTTTAATCAACTGTGTTTCAAAGTGTTTTGCTAATGAAACTCGGAAGCAACAAAAATAAGGTTAAAATAAATTACGCATCTTCTTTTTTCTAACAAAACCACTCCTCCATAAACATATCTTTATTAGCTATTTAAAAAGCCTAGTAAACTTCAAAATTAATAAAATTAGTTCGCAAACATATATATAAACTAATAATCATCTTATTGATGAATTCGCTACATTGATCCTTTATATAAATCCCTAAATTAGATATAAAAACTTATCCCTAACACATGTAATATATAGGTATTTAAATAAAGGTTTAATTTACTAGTCCATCAGAATATTTAACTTAATAATTGCCGCAGATCATAATAAAATGAAATGAGGGGTTTCTATTTGACCCTCTAAAACCCACTTATACTTGTATATTATAAAACCTGCTTCTAAACCCTAATCCTAACCTAAAAAAATGCTAAAAAAATGCACCCCAAAAATTTGCATTTTTTTCGGTGGCTTGTCTATTTTACACTATCCCTCATTTCATTTTAATCCGTCACAATAATTATTTCAAATTGTTGAATGGAAATATCTTTTAAAATATTGGTGTGTGCTTGGAATATTTTATTATTTGGTGATTCTCCAACATTAATAATTACGTTCAAATCTTCTTTATCTTCAAGAAGTTCAAAGCAATCATTTGAAAGCTTTTCGAAAAGCTTTGTCATTTTGGAATTATTTGGCCTACTGGACCAATATCTAATATGTTACACTATTTATGTACGTACGTACGTTGTAACTACCTGTTGGATGTAAATGATTTGGCTTGTATTATAAATCCAACGATAAGCGAGACCTATTTGAGTTAGTGGTTTACATTACATCCCTTTTTCAAAAGGGAAATGGAACGTATACATAGTAAACTTTATTAAAAGTTTTTTTTCAATCGGAAATTATCAGGCTGACCTTGCTCGTCTCTTATGTTCGTTCTTCGGAATTTTTCTGATATTAATTTTAATTCGCCCGGCTAATAAGACTAGCTAAGACTAACTCTATAATATTGTTATTATTTAAATATATTAACACTAAGGTAATTAAAGGGAAGTTGTCTTTCTAGCCTAAGGGAGTTCGACTTGTCCTTATCTTTGCCCAGAGAAGCATTCCTTATATACATTTTTTTTTGCCCTGATGGTTCGAACTTTTATTCGGTAGTTTCTAACACTACATCCGGTAGTTTCTAACATTTATACGTTAGTTACCATCCTTACTTTAGTTATTAACTCTTCTACTGGTTATTATCCAGCTCTAATAGTTCGAAACTATCGGTAAATGTGGCTTACCGTTTCCGTATCACAGACCCCAAAATTAAAGATACAAAACTAGAGACATGATCATGTAGGCGGCTTCGCCGCCCATAATGTGTTAAAGATAGTATATTCTGATTTTATTCCGGAAAGAAAATTTTCTCAAGTATTTCTGGCATTAGATGTTCCGTCTTAAATTTAATGCACCAACTTTGGTGCACTAAATTTAAAGCTTTTATTTATTGTCGGGGATGATGCTGAAATTTGGGCCTTAATTTAAAAATATAACCCCTACTAAAATCCCACCTATACTCTTTTATTATAAACACCAACCCTAAATTCTAATCGAACTATAAAAAAAAGGCTGAACAAAACACCTCAAAAAATTTAAATTTTCATAATAAAATAAGT